AATCGTATAGCTGATAAAAGATTGATATGCAAAATATACAGAAAACTCCACAACCCAATAAAAAACTGGCAAAAAACCTAGATATTTCTCCAGATAAGACACACAAATGGCCAACAAGCATATGAAAAGATGGTCAACATCACTAATCGCTAGGTAAATGCAAATCAAAAGTACAATGAGGGCTTCCCTGGTGGCGCAGTGGTTGAGAGTCCGCCTGCCGATGCAGGGGACGCGGGTTCGTGACCCGGTCCAGGAGGATCCCACGTGCCGCAGAGCAGCTGGGCCCGTGAGCCATGGCCGCTGAGCCTGCGCGTCCTGAGCCGGTGCTCCACAACGGGAGAGGTCACAACAGTGAGAGGCCCATGTACCACAAAAAAAAAAAAAAAAGTACAATGAGATACTACTTCATAATCATTAGGATGGCTCCTATCCAAAAAATAGAAAGCAATGAGCATTGGCAAGGACGTGGACTGTTGGTGGGAATGTAAAATGGTGTAGCCACTGTAGACAACGGAATGGTGCCTTCTCAAAAGTGAAAAATAGAATTACCATATGATCCAGTAATTCCACTTTTGGGTATATACACAAAAAGTATTGAAGGCAGGTCTCAAAGAGATACTTGTACACCCATGGTCACAGTAGCATTGTTCTCAATAGCTAAAACATGGAAGCAACCCAAGTGCGGTCTATCCATGCAATGGAATATTATTCAGCCTTAAGAAGGAAGGAGGGCTTCCCTGGTGGCACAGTGGTTGAGAGTCCGCCTGCCGATGCAGGGGACACGGGTTCATGCCCCGGTCCGGGAAGATCCCACATGCCACGGAGCTGCTGGGCCCGTGAGCCATGGCCGCTGAGCCTGCACATCCAGAGCCTGTGCTCTGCAGCAGGTGAGGCCACGGCAGTGAGAGGCCCACGTACCGCAAAAAAAAAAAAAAAAAAAAAAAGAAGGAAGGAAATTCTATGATATGCTACAACATGGATGAACCTTGAAGACTTACACTAAGTGAAATAAGTCAGTCACAAAAGGACAAATACTGTATGATTCTACTTACATGTGGTACTTAGAATAGTCAAAATCATAAAGACAGAAAGTAGAATCATGGTTCCCAGGGGCTAGCAGGCGGGGAGAATGGGGAGTTTGTTTAATGGGCACAGAGCTTCAGTTTTACAAGACGAAAAGAGTTATGGGGATGGATGGTGATGATGGTTGTACAACAATGTGAATGTACTTAATACCACTGGCTGTACACTTTAAAATGGTTAAGATGGTAAATTTTATGTGTATTTTCCCACAAGAAAAAAAGACATTTAAAAAAAAAAAAGTAAGGCAGAATACCACTGAATTGGACACTTTAAAAATCATATTAGGGTATGTGAATTTCTCCTCAATGAAAAAATATTTTTTTAAAAAAGACAAATAGGGCTTCCCTGGTGGTGCAGTGGCTGGGAGTCTGCCTGCCGATGCAGGGGACGCGGGTTTGCGCCCCGGTCCGGGAGGTTCCCGCGTGCCGCGGAGCAGCTGGGCCCGTGAGTCATGGCCGCTGAGCCTGTGCGTCCGGAGCCTGTGCTCTGCAACGGGAGAGACCCCAACAGTGGGAGGCCCGCGTGCCGCAAAAAAAAAAAAAGAAAAGACAAATAAAAATAACACAATTTTTAAAAAGTGAGTTGTTATCTTTCCTAAAACCATAAGGGAGACCCAACATTCAGGACAAAATAGAAGACTCTGCACCAATCCCCTCTTCTTTAGCAACCTCCACCTAAGCAGACAGTCGGAAACTCAGCAGGTCCTGCGCGCTCAGTGGGGGGCCTCTGATGGTGACAACCTCAAGCTGCAGCACAGCGAGATGTATGGCTGCAATGTGTATACAGCTGCAAGGTGACTCAACCAGGACACGGACCTGGCTCCAGGGTCCAAGGAGGGGTTATTTTGAAAGCTCTCCAGAGAACCCTCAAGACATCTGTATTTCCAAGTTCTAGAAAGTTTAAATTTATGTAATTTTCAGAGTAAATCCAGGCATGATACCTATGTTAAGCACTCAAATCTCTGTTATATGAACTTGTTTTGTTCAAAGAATACGAGCAAATATATAAATAAATTAGAGTTTTACCCCCCAGAGATGTGGGAGAGGGTTATTTTGCTGTGTTACTCCCCAGAAAAGAGCTCTTTTGACCCTCGCAGCCCCGTGGTGATCTGCACTTATTCTGACATAAAAACGCAGCAAAGGACACTGGGTCTGTTTATTTTTACAGCTACCTTCTTTCCACGTCACTCTCATGTTCTAGGCAGTCTGCTTTATCAGCTTTATTCAAACAGCAAATGTTTCTGGAGGCCACACTTGCAAAGCTCACGGCATTTCCAAACGGGCCTTCTGCTGTGGGTGCACTGTCCCCATGGACTCAGGTTTCTAGAAGGTACGTTGTCTGGATCAGAAGAACACTTAACCCAAAGACAAATCACAAAGGCTTTAGTCATTCTGGCTAACAGATTACAAACAAGGGGTGTGTCTTCTCAAAACTTTTTTCTAGTTTGTGTCTAATGACTACCAAAATATTCAGGACCAAAACAATCCTCTGAGACTCAGGTGACTGGGTATACACTGGAGGCACTATTAGCCCAGATGGCCTCTCGCTGATCTAGATAAACACTTGAAAGTGAACAGTCACACAAAGGTCTATTTCTGATTAAGGAAAATACTTAAAACGTACACCCAGGCAGGCTGGGTGACTGATGATACCGAGAACTTTGTTTTATTTTTTAGGTGTGACGATGGTATTGCAGGGAAGTTTTACCCCCATCTTTTGGAAAGATCTCCTGCACTGTCCACAGAGGAAATGGCACGGGGTCTAGGATTTGCTCTAAAATAATCTGGGAGGAATGAGGACAGGAAAGAAAGGCAGCGACAAGGCTGGCCAGGAGCTGATGACTTCGGAGACTGGCGATGGGTACATTCATTGGGTTTATCGTACGCTTCTATCTTCATATTCGAAAGTCTCTATAATTAAAAAGGTCTTAAAGAAAAGAATGTATATGCCGAAATGTTCACAATAATCAAAACAGATGCAATTATGACTGGAATTTGCTTCAAAATGAACCAAAATGGGTTGTGCAAGAGGGTATGGACAAAACAAGAGTGTCCACGAAGTGGATAACTGCTGAAGCTCCTTGGGGCTTATTTTACTATCCGGTCTGCTTTTGTTTACACTTGGCATGTCCACCACATAGAGTTTTTTAAAAGGAAAGAAAGGGGAGAAAGGAATTTGCAGGCTGAATGCACCCGAAGACACGCTCCATAATGGACTGCAGAGGGAAGCAGGAGCATGCCAGCTGCGACATGTCCCTCCAAGGCCGAGCCCTGACCTTGCAGGAGGCCCAGTGGGCCGCGTCCCCTCCTGGGACACTCCTCGGGGAAGGAGCGAGAGCCCATTTCGACAGCATCAGGCTAGTTTTCTCCTGTACGTCTAAGTCTGGTTGTGGTGGGAATGTCTGATTTGGTTTTCACCCCCGGAATGCTAACCCATCCTCACTGTTCCATGCAGCAAGTAATTTGTGCGGAAATTCATTTCAGACACAGGAACATTTCCTCTCCAGATTACACTGAAGAAAGTACACTTGATGACAGTAAAACGGAATCCAATATTCCATGTTAAGATAAACCTCCACATCAAAAAGAACTGATGAGCTATTTCAAGCCACATTCCAAGAGCTCCACAAGCAACAGCGCCAGGCGGATCCACCTGTCAGCGGGTAAGCATTTCAGTGAAGAGTTAAAAACTTAACAATCAAGTGTTGGGTAAGACATAAAGTTTCAGGACACAGGCTTTATAATCACAAGCGAATTGTAATTAACGTTCTCGAGGGGACACAATCTAAACGTAAATAAGTGGAGAGCCAGGCCCTCTGCTCCTCAGGGGCTCCCTCTGTACCGACCCCCTGCCCACGCCCAGTGGCAGCACCAGGGATGTTGCACCTGAGCCGGCGAACTTCCCCCCAGGATGGGGAAGCCCCAGAAGCCCCTCCCTCCTGGTAAAGCTCCACCCCAGGCGCGGAGGGCCTGCCCCGGGCTGACAAGCATATCTGCATACAGTTGCATTTTAGCTGAAATTTCCGGTAACAAAGAAAGAAAAGCAGAGCTGGGAACAAGAACTTTGTGAGAACAACGGACATCATTCGTTCGCCTATACTCAGAATACCTGCCTCTGGGTCTGCTCACCTGATTAGGACTCTGAATTACACAGACATCAGAGAGGTCAGTTCACTGCTACCAGAGGACATCAGGAACTAACAAAGCAGCTGTGCTGACACCCCATTCTCCTTCCAAAGACCCCCCAAGACCGCTCCCAGCCCCCTGCTCTTGCCTCAGCTGCACGGTGATGCGGGCAGACTGACCACCACAGAAGGTGTCTTGTTGGCCTATTTTTATTTTTAATTTACTTGTTAAATTGATATTTGCTTTTTCAAACAAAAATCTGAATCTTAAGAATAGCATGACTTGGGTTTTCCGAAAAATCTGCATCAATGATGTAAATGATGTCTCTTTGTTACATTTCTTCCAACTGAATCCTACAGATTCTTACTCTTGGTTCTGACGTGGGCACATACAAAGTCCACTCTAAGAAAACATTCACTTCTTGTGCAGATTCAAGCTTTACTACACTTACTATTTGAAAAAGGCATTAAAATGGTCTCATTCTTTCAAAATAATTATTGATTCGATAATCATGAATTAACGATGTTATGCTGCATGACGCCTGTTTACTGAACTGTTCATACCAGCTGCCAGCAGAGTGTACGTACTATTACCATAAAGATGGGAAACGATTAGAACAAAGCTATCACTTGGAACAAGTGTTTTCTAGAATCATATTCCACGCTTGTTATCCATATTGTTAATAATAATCACACTGCTTTTAACGGAAGAAAAATGAATGGTGACTATGCTTATTCTGCGCGCGTAGAGCCCGTCGCCAGGCGGCACGCGAAACACGCGGATGGTTCTTACGTTGCCGTCCGCTCCCGAAGGGCTGTTAAACACGTACTCCAGCTGAAAGACGATGGTGAACGCGGGCTGACAGACCATCTCAGGGAGCTGGAGGCGGCTTCTCGAGACCAGAGTGTGGTTTCCAGATCTGCGCCGAGAACACACAGAGGGGGCGTGTCAGGCGGGGCTCCTGCTGCCCGGCACCCCACCTGCCATCAGCTCGGGCGCCGCGGCACCGGGCGCTGCTGCTGCAGTCTGGTACAGTGAGTCCCCCAAGCAATGGCACTGAGCCCTTCTGGGTGTTTGGCCATCAAGGTAACTTCCCAAACCAGAGCCTCTCTTAGGTGCTGCAATCAGCACTCTCCCAAAATGCCAGCACTGGTATCAGGAGGACGGAAGGGCTCCAGGGAGGTGCCCCTCCGAGGCCGGCTTCCGTCCAGCTTCACGTATGGAACCCCTAGGCGATGTATCTGTTGTGATTTGAGACGCACAGGACTGAACAGAGCGGCAGAACTTACTGCCCTCTGGTTCTGTGTCATGTGAGAAAGGGATCACAGGGCGCATCTGGAGGAAAGCATGCCAGGGCTCCACAGCTGGAAGCATCTGTTATGCTAACTCCAAAACCCGTCGTGGCACAAAAACCAGGATCTTTCCAACCTCACAACACTGAGGTCTGCTCCTGATGGGGACGACTAAGCAAGAGGAATCAAAGGCACCGGGCAAGAACCCAGGTGGATGAGTGCACACCTCGCCTGTAAGAACAACTGCCTTTCACTCTGATCCCTGGTCAGGTGCCCACCCGCACCTCCTAACTCCACGCGGACCACGACCTGGGACCCCGGGGGAAATACCTGGCCTTCGAAGAGGCGCCAACTCTCCGGCTGAAGCTGGCAGAGTGCGTCAAGGACACCTCCAGCTCAGGCACCAGCACCACCACCTGTGGCCTCTGCACGAAGCCCAGCCCGTTGTGCACGCCCACGCACAGGCGCCGCTCCAAGATCTCCAGGGCACCACTGTCCAGGGGGCTGCCCGCCTGGGAAAAGCACACATGGCACAGAATAAGGTCGGTGCGGAGGGGGGCGGGAGCTCGCCAGGAAAGCTCCCAGCAGAGAGCCCCAGCAGAGAGAAGAAACTAGAACAGAGGTTTCAGACATTCCAGACCAGACGGAGCTTAGTGAAGCACCATCCAATCAGAGCAGACTGGCCTTAGGCCATTTTCTAGGTACTTTGGGGATTTCTCACGTAGCGTCATCTCGTAGAGCAATACATCCCTTAGATGCCTGAATCAGCTAACTCTCGCTCCGGGTTTCCAAGGTTGAGCTACAATTCTCAAGACGCAGCAAACCAGCAACAAGGGGCCCTAGCACCTCCAACAGTGAGAGGAAGTGAGCTCCAAGTGGGCTCCAAGAAGTGAGAGGTCCCGGAGTCAAGGGCAGGCGCTGACCAAGGCTGAACACAGCGAGCTTCAACACCTCTGCCCTCCCACAGCTCAGACACCTGAGACTTGGGGCGGACAGGGCCGCAGGAAGAGTGGGCATATTTAGGCAGTAAGTCTGCCCCAAAGTGATCCCTGGATATTAAAGTGTTTTCATCTTAACAAAAACAACATACAGGCGCCCTAACAAATGAGCAAGGATATTCCTCCAGGCTATTACTGTTTATTAAATTACGTGATTGTTGCAAAATGATCCCTGAATTTTCGAGTTTTCTTCATTGCCCATTAATCATGCTGAACAGACGTAAATTCAGCCCATTAGTCTCTGAGTAATGAAAATAAAACGAAGGTGATAACGGAGTATCTGCCAGTTGGATGGGAACAAAAATACAAAGAGAGTAAAAACACATAATAAAGTGATCTTTATGGGAATATATAAAACTCAACAATAATGCTCTTAAACATCTTTCTACCCTCAGACAATCTTTTCTGAGCCATAAGAAAACAGCAGGAACTATGCCAAGAAAATGTGTGATGCTATTTCAGTCCTCTTCTCTGCTTCGTGTTTCTGTTTCACATGAGACTACATTACATAGCACAACATTTTCAAGAACGGGTAGAGAGCAAAAGAAAAGACCACCTTATTCGTGCGTGTACACACATTCATGTGTGTGTGTATCAATAATTTGCTAACTTCACAGACTACGAGGATGGGCATCCACTGACCGCACATTCATTCTCACAAATACATGTTAGAGACCTACTATGTGCCGACTGTTTTAGGCACATCAGGTGCAGGGGTAAAGCAAACCAAGTCCCTGTCCTCCTGGTGCAAATACTCCAGAGAGGGACCGACTATCCACCCGTAAACAGTAAGGAAACCAGGTGCTCTCCGAGAGGGCCAAGCACCCAGAGAAACGAAGCAGGGTGATGCGTCAGAGAGCGCGCCCGGCGGGGAGGAAGGGGGACGCTGCCTGCAGCTTGGGCAGGGAGGCCCCTCAGGGCAACAGGTCTGCACTGAGACATGATACCTGAGAGGGGTCGTGCACAGATCCAGACGAAGAACATGCACGAAAGTGGGCCATGTGTTCAAAGGCCCACAGTGGGGACGAGGCATCACGGTGCGGAGTCTGCAGGACAGCGTCACACAGGCAAAACTGAGCAGTGTTAGGGGAAGCACCGCTCACAGTAAACTGCTTCGATGGGGCAAAGTGGTTGAGATCCCTAGTCGTCTCCTTGGAAACATCCTCAAAATGTCCCTTGTAAATGTGGATTATTTTACAGGTTTTCCTATGCTCATTTGGTGATTTAATCTACTTTTAAATGAGGACTGATTAAGTTACATCGAAGTGAATGCTAATTAATGTCTCAGGATAACAGCACCCTCGTCAATATCAAAGTTAAGACAATGGGCTCGTGGGACTTCCCTGGTGGTCCAGTGGTTAAGACTCCGCTCTTCCAATGCAGGGGGCCTGAGTTCGATCCCTGGTCGGGGAACTAAGATCCCGCATCCCACATGCCACGTGACCCAGCCAAAGAATAAAAATTTTTTAAAAATTAAAAAAAATAAAGACAATGGGCTAGTGTCCCTCTTCAGCCACAAAGAGACGAAAGACAGGACCACAGGTGTCACCAGGGGCTGGACCACCCACCTGGGGGCTTGAGAGGCCGGGAGCTCCCCAGCTCCGCCTGCCGTTTCCACCTGCACCGTTCAGACTAACTTCCCCGACCCAAGACTGTACCTCCCGGAAGTGATCGCTGATCACAAGTTCCAGAAGCTCCTCCTCAAACTTCTCCAGGGAGGGATACATCGTGAAGAACAAATCGTCCAGGTACCACGTGAGAGACTTCTGAAGGCGAGGCTTCCGGAGCGTGTCCCCTGCACAACGAGAGGCTCAGAGGGATGACCCGCAGAAACAAAACCACCGGACGGTCCTCTCACCCACGGGGGGTGCAGGCCGCAGGCCAAGCACAGAGAAGGCAGCATGGGCATCGCTCAGAGAGGACTCACAGCCAGAGCCCACCTCAGTCCAAGCCCAGACACCAAACAGATCAAACAAGCGCAAATTTCATTTTCGGTCCAAATTCTACCCCAAAGCATCTCCAGGAACAAACCCCCTAATCGGCCATCCAGGGCACACAGACAGCCTGAGGCAGAGTGACATCTGTCCCCTGCACTCGGCTTCCCTTTGTCATGACTTCCTATCCAGCAAGGGCACAGCCCACTATGTCATTTCTCGTTTCACTAGGTTTACCCTGAACCACGTGGAAACACGCAGGCATAGGCGTGAGCATGGCATGGCAACGAGCAGAAACTCGGGCTGGGCTGGCACCATGAGGGAAGTCCCGCCCCGATCAAGAAGCACCCCTGGACCGTGAGCTCCGTGAGGACAGAAGGGGGCGGCGGCCCCTGCATCCAGCCCAGCACCTGCACCAAGCAGGTACATGGAAGCCCGGCCGCAGCCACGAGAGGGGAGCATCACGTGCATTTAGAGAGGATTCTCCATGGGTTCTGGAGCAAAGGTGACACAGGAGGAAGAAAGCAAAGCCAGCTGCTCCCCAGCAAACACACCCCCAGGGGTCTGTCCCTTACGTCCCCATCAGTGTCATCGTTCTGGTTCTGGTCCTGTCTGTCTCTTCCTAAATGTTTAGGGTTATTTAAATATTTACATGCAAGGTCTTCGATTTTGAAAGCCAATTCTAAACTTTAAAAAAAATTGACGTAAGACTCAATGCTGAGGGGTGGAGTCAAGGTGCCGTACTAGGAGGATGTGAATTCACGTCTCCTCACAACTAGGGCACCTACCAGGCGCCGGTGAGGGACCACAGACACCTAGGGGACAGGAGGAACCCCCAGTGACCGGTTGTTTCAATTACAGTTTTATTTTTCCTAATATATTTTTTATCTTTCTAACTTTATTGGGTATTTTATTCTTTGATATTGTACTGCTCCTTTTTTTCTTTCTTTTTTTTTTTTACATATTTTTTTTTTACCATGCCATGAAGCTTGCAGGATCTTGGTTCCCAGGCCGGAGGTCAGGCCCAAGCTCCTGTAGTGGGAGCTTCGAGTCCAAGCCGCTGGACTAACAGAGAACCTCAGACCCCAGGGAGTATCAGTTGGAGTGAGGCCTCACGGAGGTCCTCATCTCAGCACCAAGACCCGGCTCTATTCAACTGCCTGCAAACTCCAGTGCTGGACGCCTCAGGCCAAACAACCAGTAAGACGGGAATACAGCCCGACCCATCAAAAAAGGAAAAAAAATGAAACGACAAAAAAAAATATGCTACAGACGAAGGAGCAAGGTTAAAACCCACACGACCAAATAAATGATGATGAAATAGGCAACCTACCCGAAAAAGAATTCAGAGTAGTGATAGTAAAGATGATCCAAAATCTCGGAAAGAGAATGGAGAAAATACATGAAACATTTAACAAGGATCTAGAAGAACTAAAGAGCAAGCAAACAGTGATGAACAACACAATACCTGAAATTAATATACTCTAGAAGGAATCAATAGCAGATTAACTGAGGCAGAAGAATGAATATGTGAGCAGGAAGATAAAATGGTACAAATTACTGCCACAGAGCAGAATAAAGAAAAAAGAATGAAAAGAATTGAGGACAGTCTCAGAGACTTCTGGGACAACTAAACGCATCAACGTTCCAATTATAGGGGTCCCAAAAGAAAAAGAAAGGGTCTGAGAAAATATTTCAAGAGATTATAATGGAAAACTTCCCTAATATGGGAAAGAAAGTAGTCCAGGAAGCACAGAGAGTACCATACAGGATAAACCAAGAGAAACACACCAAGACACACAGTAATCAAACTGACAAAAATTAAAGACAAAGAAAAATTATTAAAAGCAACAAGAGAAAAACAACAAATAACATACAAGGGAACTCCCATAAGGTTAACAGCTGATTTCTCAGCAGAAACTCTGCAAGACAGAAGGGAGTGGCATGATATACTTAAAGTAATGAACGGAAAGAACCTAAAACCAAGAATACTCTACCTAGCAAGGATCTCATTCAGATTCGACAGAGAAATCAAATGCTTTACAGACAAGCAAAAGCTAAGAGAATTCAGCAGCACCAAACTAGCTCTACAACAAATGCTAAATGAACTACTCTAAGTAGGAAACACAAAAGATGAAAAGGACCAACAAAAACAAGCCCAAACCAATTAAGATAATGGTAATAGGAACATACATATTGCTAATTACCTTAAATGTAAATGGATTAAATGCTCTAACCAAAAGATACAGGCTTGCTGAATGGATACAAAAACAAGACCCATACATATGCTGTCTACAAGAGACCCACTTCAGACCTAGAGACACACACAGACTGAAAGGGAGGGGATAGAAAAAGATATTCCACGCAAATGGAAACCAAAAGAAAGCTGGAGTAGCAAGTCTCATATCAGACAAAATAGACTTTAAAATAAAGACTATTACAAAAAACCAAGGACACTACATAATGATCAAGGGATCAATCCAAGAAGAAGATACAACAATTGTAAATATTTATGCACCCAACTTAGGAGCACCTCAATACATAAGGCAAATGCTAACAGACATAAAAGGGGAAATCGACAGTAACACAATCATAGTAGGGGACTTTAACACCCCACTTTCACCAATGGACAGATCATCCAAAATGAAATTAATAAGAAAACACAAGCTTTAAATGACACATTAAACGAGATGGACTTAATTGATATTTACAGGACATTCCATCCAAAAACAACAGAATACACTTTCTTCTCAAGTATTCATGGAACATTCTCCAGGATAGATCATATCTTGGGTCACAAATCAAGCCTTGGTAAATTTAAGAAAATTGAAATTGTATCAAGTATCTTTTCTGACGACAACGCTATGAGACTAGATGTCAATCACAGGGGAAAAAATGTAAAAAATACAAACACATGGAGGCTAAACAATAAGCTACTAAATAACCAAGAGATCACTGAAGAAATCAAAGAGGAAATCAAAAAATACCTAGAGACAAATGACAATGAAAACACGACGATCCAAAACCTATGGGATGCAGCAAAAGCAGTTCAAGAGGGAAGTTTATAGCAATACAATCCTACCTCAGGAAACAAGAAAAATCTCAAATAAACAGCCTAACCTTACACCGAAAGCAATTAGGGAAAGAAGAACAGAAAAACCCCAAAGTTAGCAGAAGGAAAGAAATCATAAAGATCAGATCAGAAATAAATGAAAAAGAAATGAAGGAAATGATAGCAAAGATCAATAAAACTAAACACTGGTTCTTTGAGAAGATAAACAAAATTGATAAACCATTAGCCAGACTCATCAAGAAAAAAAGGGAGAAGACTCAAATCAACATAATTAGGAATGAAAAAGGAGAAGTAACAACTGACACAGCAGAAATACAAAGGATCATGAGAGATTACTACAAGCAACTATATGCCAATAAAATGGACAACCTGGAATAAATGGACAAATTCTTAGAAAAACACAACCTTCCAAGACTGAACCAGGAAATAATAGAAAATATGAACAGACCAATCACAAGTAATGAAATTGAAACTGTGATTAAAAATCTTCCAACAAACAAAAGCCCAGGACCAGATGGCTTCACAAGAGAATTCTATCAAACATTTAGAGAAGAGCTAATACCTATCCTTCTCAAACTCTTCCAAAATATAGCAGGGGGAGGAACACTCCTAAACTCATTCTACGAGGCCACCATCACCCTGATACCAAAACCAGACAAAGATATCACAAAAAAAGAAAACTACAGGCCAATATGACTGATGAACAGAGATGCAAAAATCCTCAACAAAATACTAGCACACAGAATCCAACAGCACATTAAAGGATCATACACCATGGTCAAGTGAGGTTTACCCCAGGGATGCAAGGAATCTTCAATATATGCAAATCATTGAATGTGATACACCATATTAACAAATTAAAGGATAAAAACCATATGATCGTCTCAATAGATGCAGAAAAAGCTTTTGACAAAATTCAACACCGATTTATGATTAAAAACTCTCCAGAAAGTAGGCATAGAGGGAACCTACCTCAACATAATAAAGGCCATATATGACAAACCCACAGCCAACATGGTTTTCAATTGTGAAAAACTGAAACCATTTCCTCTAAGATCAGGAACAAGACAAGGTTGCCCACCCTCACCACTACTACTCAACATAGTTTTGGAAGTTTTAGCCACAGCAGACAGAGGAGAAAAAGAAATAAAAGGAATCCAAATCGGAAAAGAAGTAAAACTGTCACTGTTTGCAGATGACATGATACTATACATAGAAAATCCTAAAGGTGCCACCAGAAAACTACTTGAGCTAATCAATGAATTTGGTAGAGTAGCAGGATACAAAATTAATGCACAGAAATCTCTTGCATTCCTATACACTAATGAAGAAAAATCTGAAAGAGAAATTAAGGAAACACTCCCATTTACCATTGCAACAAAAAGAATAAAATACCTAGGACTAAACCTACCTAAGGAGACAAAAGACCTGTATGCAAAAAACTATAAGACACTGTTGAAAGAAATTAAAGATGATACAAACAGATGGAGAGATATACCATGTTCTTAGATTAGAAGAATCAACATCGTGAAAATGACTATACTACCCAAAGCAATCTAGAGATGCAATGCAATCCCTATCAAACTACCAATGGCATTTTTCACAGAACTAGAACAAAAAATTTCACAATTTGTATAGAAACACAAAAGACCCCAAATAGCCAAAGCAATCTTGAGAAAGAAAAATGAAGCTCGAGTAATAAGGCTCCTGCACTTCATACTATATTACAAAGCTACAGTGGTCAAGACAGTACTGGCAACAGAAACAGAAATATAGATCAATGGAACA